CCTGGTTTGTTATGTCAGTGTTTTGAAATTTCACATAATAAACCATTCAGCATAGTGGCTGGTGATGTTTCAAACTAGTGTGGCAATTAGCCGACTGAATGGATGACTAGGGTTATTCAGAAATGTTGCCTCACGGTGAGACAGGCAGTTAGTCAATTTTAGAAATTATCACAAATCACATCAAATCACATATATTTCTAGCAGTCCATGAGAACATCTGATTCCAACGGAATATATGTAAATCACTTGAAATCATTCTAAAAACAATGCCGTCATACCACTTTAAAACACTTACCCAGATTTGATGACCATTGATGTAATGATTGCTTTGTTGACAGCTCCATATACTTTGAATGCGTTCTTTCTAGTAAAAATAAAATACAGGCCAGGTATGCTTGCAAAGAAGTGTAGAAAAAGAACTGTGATGACAGTGGCCACAAACATGCCTAGCTCCTCTTCCACAATGAGTAGATCCTCTACTTTTAACAACGATGCAGCAATGAGACTAGCGGTTGCCACGGGGAGACTCCTAGAAATGAAAAACAAGATGAGAATTCAATTAATATCATCAAATATTAGATTTATGAAACCATACAGAAAACTGAAAACTGAATTTGATATTGCTGTTATTTTATAAATTGAGAAGGTACCAATAAATCAAATCTAATTTTAAATGCTATCGATTGCGGCAAAAGGCGCCACCACATGATGACAACAGAAATGCGTTTTGTTTGCTTTTCAAAATAAGCCAAACCATTAACTATTAAGTAGACATACCAGCTGGTAGTTTGTGGCGTGTGAAAACAAAAGCTGGCTGTAAACAGCTTATTTATAATGTAAATGGAGTGGAAAAACGCCTACTGAGTAATCATCAGTGCATACGTTTGTGCATCATCATTATTATCTATATACCATATTGGATTTATTAACGTAACTCAGGGGGGACAGAATAACATTAAATTGTGGACACAATTTTTTGAGTCACTATAATTAAATTACCGCAGTTAGGTCACTAAAATACAAAAATAGATATGCCAGTACACGTGTCTAGTAGTTCCTTATTAATTTTTGCATAATTACGTACTAGGTAAGGAAATATAAAAGTTGGTAATCACTAGTCAACAACTTTTTTTTTTTTTTTAATCTAATTTTATCTTATACTCTAGAGATGTGTCACCATGTTTTTATTTTTTGCGGGGGGGGGGGGGGGGGGAATTATTTTTTTGTACAACCTTAATAGAGAAAAAAATAAATATCCCCTGTCATAACTGATCATCCCTGACAAATTCAAGTACTGTAAAGGGGTTAATTATTCACTGTGTTTTAATTTGGCTTATTTCGCTGACTGGAAAATGCGCTAAATTAAAACCCAGTGAATATGTAAAATTTAGCATAGAACACATTATCTAAACGATGAAACCGTGAATTTAAAACCCACTAAATATGCCTGAAATGGTAAATCAGTGAAATTTAAACCCAGTGAAAATGATTCATTTTACAGTAATAAAAATAAACCAATAAATACATTTTATAAATATTTTGACCGAAACCTTCTGATAAAACAAATACAATACAAGTGTCACCAATAAATAAACATGATTAATAAAAACAATATACAATTTAGTTTTTCATGGATTCTCCTCCATAATGAAGCAGCATTTACGCGTTTCACTAACTATGAATTATATCTCCATCAGTAATTAAACAAAATTCATTCTTCTTATAAATAGACTGACAATAGATTGACAGGTATGACACGCAATGCTTTTTATTCTAATTTACTTTGTCCACGTCCAGCTTTTAAGTGTGACGTGTTCACAGCATTATTTTGTTGGCTCTGTCATTGCCCATTAATAACAATATTTTTGAGAGATGGACTATATTTCAAATGATAAGTACGATCGATACACAACCAATCACAGGATCAACCACATTTTTTATGTCATAGTCCTAAGGTAAAATGACACCAATGATCATTTTCAAATAAATGCAATCAACATTTCAACTTCATATATTTCAGTAAAGAGAGATCAGCAGGTTTCGAGCTGAACACATAAATCATGGTTTGAATTTTGATTCTGATGTGTTGCGCGACATGAAAATATTTGCATTAAATAATTTTTTAGTGAGCTAGGCTAAGCTTTGTGGGGTAGATGCCTTGAACTTATTTATAGCGCCCCCATCTGTGACACTCTGTGATGTCACAGGTCTTAGTGCTGCATACCATTAACTTTTGATTTTCACACAGATGTTGTCATCCCACTCACCCACTCCTCCTTTGTGGTTTTACCCACTACAATAAGCATCATTATATTTTATTGCAATTTGTGTATCACTAGGTGGCCTTACTGCAAACAGTAATGGGCTGAGCAAATTTGGTTGAATCAATAAAAAAATGTAATGTAATACAAAATCCAGTATGTAGAATCATTGTACTGAATTTGAATGAAATCATGCAAGCCATGTCAAAAAAACAGTCTGTCATTTTGGTTTGAATCTATAAAAAAATAATATGAGGATGAAAATGAGGAGGAAACATATTACAAACAATCTTACCAAATGAATGCTCCAAAGACTTTAAATATAACAGTTCTGAGAGCCCACATGAAGTCAAGCAATGGCTTTGTCTTGACTCGCTCAACACTCATTGCCATACCACAGGCTATGCAAAATATTACAACACCTTAAACAAAAATAGAAATGAAAGACTTAAAAATTGAGGAAAAGTACATAAAATGGTGCCATATTTAAAGTCAGTTAAAGACAAGAAAGAAAATGGATATGATACCATAATATCATAAATAGCTACAGTTAGTTTAAAAATGTTGCTGATAATGATGTATTCTGAATACAGGATTGTGACTGTGACTAAGATCACTTATAAATAGTTGATTTGCACAAGTAAAATTATTACTGTAACACAAATATTTGTGTAAAAACTAAATATGTAAGTATCTATAGTATTTCATAGTAGATCAAATATGGGAAATTGCTGATTCATTTGCTTTTACCTATACATGAGAAATGATGTCACCTTATAGTGACTAGCAAATGAATTACATGTACGTTCCAATGATAATAGATGAGTTTCAAGTTCCCAGCGTATTCCCTGGTAATTATGATACTGAGTGTACACTCAACAGAAGGGGAGGGGTGATTTTATAACCAGTCATTTGTGAGCCTGTTTGTCTTAGTTTTTTAGAAGTTAAATATACATTGTACAATACAGTCTGTGTTTAACACAACTTGTAAGATCACCTTGGCCCTTACATAAAAACTTTTTTAAAGTATCATTGTAAATAATAACTTGAACTTATACTTACTTAAACCTAAGTTACTTATATGAGACATATTACTGTAAAATACTTATAATAAATTATTTTTGTTTGGAATTCATTTTCGCTATTTTTGCTGAAGCAATGATTCAGTAAAAATAAAATCCAGCAAATATTTTACATTCAACATTCAACTCGTCAAAAATCAGTGAAAATAAATTTCATACAAAAAGCCTTTTCAGCAAAAATTAATTCCAGCTAAAATAAAATATACAAAAATTTGTTTTTGAAACCAAATTAACATAAACCTAAACTAGCTCAATATCACCTGTTGGCGTTGTTTTTTACTATTTATTATGGCTATTCGTGGTGGCTTTTAGCAGAGGGGGGAATCAAAGCCAATTCAACGTTTAACACTAAATTTTAGGTTACACAAAGATAATGTGGATGTCTACAATACAGAATGAGCATGCTCAGAACAAATCTGAAGATGGTATATTGACAAATGGTAGCTAAGCAACCAGAAAAGCTGAAACTCTTCTGTTCGGTACTCACCCATAATATTTGTTCTGTTTGTCATTGCAAGCTGTTTAGTTAGAGTGGTAGTGGTACTAGTGCCATTCACATTCTCTGTATTCTCAACTTCTTTGGATTCATATTTTGTGAAAGTCTAAAATACACATGTATGTTATTATTATTCATATGAAAGTAATATTAGAGTCAAAGAAAGCCTAGAAATAACTCCTGTGTACTGAGTTATGGAGGCAATGATTGAATGCATGATTTCCATTAGGTGTCTGTCAGTGTCAGGTCTGCGCATTGTCCCAGAGAATCTATGTACATGTACCTTGTTTTACTGATATCTGATTTGGTTTTTGAGATATCACTGGAACATAACATACACAGACAGAAAGACATAAAGACATATTAAATACGTACATAATAAATAATATTATTATACATCTGTCATCGTAACGCCATAAGTTACAGGGTGCAGTACTTTTGCGGTATTTTACAGGGTATTTTCATCCTACCATATTAGGAAGTGCGAATTCCAAATATGGAACTATTATGTGCATAAGCATCCTAATAATAAAAACAAACATGGCAGCCTGCATTCGCATCGACCTCCACTGTGTGTCGGTTGATACTCTCGCTGTACTGTCTTAGTGCATACTTTTCGGTATCATTGTAATACCTCATAATATCAAACTTTGTTTTAGTCAAGATTTTTGTATAGAAATGCTAAATACTGATTTTGAGAAGTTTGTTAAATGACATTAAAACATTACAACATTTTTACTGCGATAGAAGTCATTTCAGCAATTTTACAGCAGTTATATACTTGAAGGCAATAGTAGGCAGTGAACTTGTGACATTTTGTGCAGATTTACACTTTGATAATTAATGTAAAGACTCACAATTTAACATGCGCATACACATACCCATACCCATATCAAGGGCTTGGAAAGCATGGAGTCAATGTAGGTCACTGCCTAGATGTCCCACCTGAGTTCAAACCCAATCATTAATGTTCAAATTACAGTTTCATCTAATGTTGCAAAACATCTTTGTTTGAAGACAATGTATATTTATTTGAGTACCTGTATTATCTGTCTTATTTACTCAGTGGTAGGCAGGGTTATAGCCAGAAAATTGAAAATGCCAGTGTAAAAACTTGATTGAAATAAAAAAAACAGTTGCTAGTCTGAGGCATAGACTAATTTTTGATTATTTATTTTTATTTTGTAATTTACAGGTAATTTCATGATAATTAATTTTCATTGAAAACCACAATTTGGGTTGACATGTATCATTTATTTCATTTATCTTGGAAACCAATAATCAATTTCTGAAAATTTTTATCAAGTATGTATTTTGAAAACACTAAACTTTGAGACATAAATTGAAAGACATGTTTCTATTATAAACGACTGTAAACATTATTGCTCTGAATAACATCATTTTTGGCATCAAAATCTTAGTGTAACTATTTGCAAATTTATAATTTATTCGTTCATTTTGATTCAAACCTAATTTATTTTGCAACAAGTTACAAAAGTTTATTTTTGAAATAACAATTTTTACTTTTATTTTAAAGTGGTTTTGTTAAAACTTACCGACTGGAAACAAGCACGGATGATATTGCTTGGAATTAAATTCCTAAAATAAAAAATTAAATAGCATAGTAAATAGCACAGTTTACAATCACACCTAAAGCATTACGTCATTTGAATACTTATTCTTGGAGACATTCTATTTACAAAGAAGTTTGATTCAGATAAACAAATAGTAAAGCTGAAAGATTTTTCTCTGTGCATGTGCAAGAATAGAATCCTAAGTAATGCTAACAATACAGGTAAATGTAAAATTGTTGACAAAACCAGACATTGGTGGTTTTAGATCATATATCAAATTAATTTATCATACAGAGAAGAAAGTCGCAATTATAGAAAACAGACAGAGAAGTCACAATAAAAAAATGGGGAGAATTTATTGATTATTTTGAAGCATAAGTTTGTATTTGTGCAGTAACCTGTATTGTATTTGTGTATTGTATCTTTGTTTTGTTAAGCATATCAATAAAAAAAACAAAAACAATGCAGGTATGCTAAAGTCTCAATGGTAGACACATAGTTGCAAACAACACACTATGGTCCTCAGCCACATGCACATGTAACAACTCCCTGGTTTTAATTAATGTATTTATACATTTATCACAGCATTGAAATCAATTTGCAAGAGTTTTCTTCAGTCTCTGAGCTCCCTCAGGATTGGCAACATCGAAAAGCCATGACACAGTTGAAATTGTCATCATAATCGCCTACTAATGATGCCCACATTAAATCCATTTCATGTGCTGAATATTGTTTTAATAGTTATGTCATACAAGTTCTAATATTAGGAAGATCCCATAATAATGGAAAGTGCTATAAAGAAAAGTCATATTTTTGCATATCCATATTTACCTTAGTAAATCAGCAAACACGTCCTGAGTCTGGTAGTGGACCGTCTGCTGTGCTGGCTCTGGACTATCTTTACCAGGGATCGCAAACTGTTCCCCAGGCCTTATGAGGGCAGTCATCACGATTCCAGTGGTGATCCCGATAGAAGTAGTACAAACAAAATAAAAAAAAGACCATGCTGCCATGCGACCATTTTCTTTCAGCTCTAAGCCAGCCACAGCTGTGGAAATAACATAAAAACATAATATATACAGGCTGCTGCACTTTACAATACTACATGTTTAAACACTGTTATCTTTATGTCACAGTTATGAAATCACAAGAAAGTAGAAATCTTGGCGTATTTGTGTTTTTAACTCACCTGTTATCACCGTGGAAACCAGAAGTGGAATAATGGTCATTTCTAAACCTCGTAAAAATAGTTCCCCTGGCATTCCTATCCACATAATGGTATCATCCGACGGATTGTAAGGCTAGAAAGATAAAACAATTTCTAACTGAAACACAGTGCATGTTACAGTGAATTTTTTAATTTTTATTTAGATTTATTTCGCTATGTTTTTTGGGCTAAGATTTACCAAAATTATCAAAATCTAGTGAAAATTTGAAAATTTACCTCAATATTTCAATTTTTTATGATTTTAGATGGTTTTCAAATGACAAAAGTCACTAGGAAATCACTATATGCAGACCCAGTAATGAAGCCCCCCCCCCAAATATATGTAGGTGTACCTATTAAGCATTATGTGTAGACATTTCAAGGTAATACAGCAAGTTCAAAAAGTCAAAATAAACAATAATTCGGGCAGTTTAACTAATAATACATTCAACATCAGAAATCTTACATCTTAAATTTGGCATACAAAAATAAACATTTACAGTGATACAATTTCATTGTCAAATTCCAGCAAAGATAAGTGTCTTTGATTTGAGGCATTATTTTGCTGAAATTCAACGATGCAAGACCTCAGCTGTGACCAACCTGTTGAATGACATCACTGTCTGTGGTTGCCAAGGATACGTGTATCAAATTAACCACACTACAGATGAGCCACTTTTTATTCTTAGAGTTCAGATTTTCTTTTAATTTTGAAATACATTTTCAGTTGTAATGTAGGAAGTAGGGGATATTTTACCAAAGTTACCAAATTATGGTCCAATTACCATGGCAATGTGATCTGAATAAATACATTATGCATCTAACTATTTTGTACTTTTAATATATTGATTAAAGCAAATGATTACATCAGCTTTTTTGACCATTATTTTCCAGTATTTTCCTCACCAACATTTTGGTGCAAAGTTTAATTCATTCATATTTATCTATTTTCCTGCAACTTTTTTGTTACTTTCATGATTTCCCATTGCCGACTGATCTTCATCAACATTTAAAAAATCAAAGAAAGCTTAGAAAGAACTCCCGTGTGCTGAGAGTTTTGGAGACACATTAAAAA